ATATATATTAAGAAAAATATGTTGGTTTATTTAAGATATTTTAGCTATAAATGGGGTTTTTCGGTTGGTTCTTTCTTTTTTGGTTACTGTGATCTATCTACAGTACATTGTTGGTTACTGTGATCTTCTACAGTACATTGTTGGTTACCGTGATCTTGTACAGCACATTGTTGGTTACCGTGATCTTGTACAGTACATTGTTGGTTACTGTGATCTTCTACAGTACATTGTTGGTTACTGTGATTTTCTACAGTACATTGTTGGTTACTGTGATCTTCTACAGTACATTGTTGGTTACTGTGATTTTATACAGTACATTGTTGGTTACTGTGATCTTCTACAGTGCATTGTTGGTTACTGTGATCTTCTACAGTGCATTGTTGGTTACTGTGATTTTATACAGTACATTGTAGGTTACTGTGATCTTCTACAGTGCATTGTAGGTTACTGTGATTTTATACAGTACATTGTTGGTTACTGTGATCATCTCCAGTACTTTGTTGATTACTGTGATTTTATACAGTTGGGACGTTACTACTGCTATTTCTACAGTAACTCCAGAGTTGCTGTAATGTTTGGTTGGAAACACGGTATTATACTCTAAAATGGTATACAGTAATTTACTGTGCACAAACACTGTAAATAACTGTGGATTTCAAAGCCATTTTTTACAGTGTATATCTTGCATTTTCCTCTTTTCTGAAATTAGCTGCGGCTGGGATCAAGGAAGCCTCTGTTCCTTCTTAGGGTTTTTCTGTTCATCTTTTTTAGCCCATGCTTTGTTCAATAAAGTCGTGTTGTCAAAGGGACCTTGCATCACCATCTGTAAGACGACACTAGCCTTGCTCTCTCCTCAAAAGCAAGTGCATCCATGAATTAGTATTGGCAATGTGTTACAAAGAGTGTGCCAAGATCTCATGGAACTGTGAATTGCAGCAGAGTCACTGAAGACTGCATAATGAAGAGAAGATTATGTTCGGAATAAGAACTGTATGCTTCCCTTAGTATTTTGATTCCAAATGGATACCAGGCAGTGATGCTGCATTCATTTCGGAACACAATGTTTTGCTCTGTGACATGAGGTTTTTGTAGAACAGCTTAAAAAGGAAAATCCATCTAAACACACACTTAATAGGCACACATACACACAACAAAAAACGTCATTGCCAATTGCACATCTTCAGCAAACCAAGAAGCAGCTTCGGAACAGACTGAAAAGGGTAGCTGCTATGAATAATGCACAGGCCTACAAATAGGTGAGGATTGATTTAAATGTATTATTTGTTGTAAAGTGATTTGATACCATCACACATTCACTGAGCTTATCTGGGCAGAACACATTATGGCATACAGGCAAGCCTCTGTAGTCTGTATAATCATGGGATAAGGGAATGGAAACAGCAAATAGCCCAAAAAGGAAACTATGATTTTCTTTACCTATGATGGGTTGTTGTTAGGAAAGCAACGGAATACTTAATGCAAAGGATAAACAAATTACCTAGATATGTTCTGCAATTATCTTACTCAATGCTCAATGTCTACGGAGATTTCGCCTTTTGGCTGTTTTGTTCTCATTGTCATTATAATTTTACAGAATGATATCTAACATTTGTTTCAATCCAAGTTTATAATTAGTGAACCATTAGCAACTGTATGCTTGAAGCAGGTTGAAGAGACATAGCAGTATTGGGAAGACTACAAAGTATTACTTTGCTTTAGCTGTATTCCACATTATTTGTGTCTTCTTCATTTATACTTATTGTAGTACATCCTTGTTGGGTCACTATCCAAAGACCTGCTAATGCTGACGAAAGTGTTTTTTTATGGCAGCCATGTTTGGTGGATTGCTGACATAGAGATTTCCAAAATCTCAATCAGGGTGCTACTCAGTATGCACTTGGTCTTGCTGAATCTTGCTGGCAGGGGTACTAAATTCTACACATTGATGTTCTGTGCAAAGCAAAAGTAATGAATACAAGAACATTGCTGTCAGTTGCAAATTATGGATTGTAATAAAAATAGTTCTCAATCCCAGTGACAGCAAATCAAATGTCCTGAGGTGACTGATTATTCAGCCCTAGAAGGAAAGACACAATTCACCTTTTGGATTTTTGATTTGTCCAACACAAAGCTATCATTTATAGACCAAGGGAGAACAAATAATAAATATAATACAAAATATACCGTTGCTAAAATGGTAAAGATTACTCATTTAGATTTTCAAGTTGAGTCTAACATCGCTCAAAAGCAAGAAACACATTGAAGGTCATATTGTATTGGGTCAAATGGGGTTAAAACAGGGCGTGAAGTTGCCGAATCGGCAGTGTCTGATGCATCTATAGAAAGATTTTCTGGCAACATATGTTTGAATCAATACAAGTTTGTTGCATTTGAGTAGAGAAGTTAATTAGGCGTTCTATGTGGAGAAAAATCCTTCAGTCTCCTCAATCAGAGTTTAGCTTTACATACTTTACACACAGGAGGCTCTTATCAGTTTGCCCGATTCATACAATACAGATAGCTAGTCAAGCAGAAATACTTTTCTCATTAGCAAGCAAAGTGCATAAAACATAAACCTGCACACATGGATGGAAACAGAAGGACACATGTGTTAGGTGTACACAGCAGATAACTAGAATGGATGCTGTTCATTTCAAAACCAATTTACAAAGAAGACACATACAATTATCGCCAAGGAGCCATTAAATGTCCTTGAGTTACGGCTGGAACAACAGTTTCAGTGAGCTTCCATGTGATTACATATTTTGGGTGCCCCATACTATAACAAAAATACAAGTTAATCTATGAAATAATGTACACACCAGGGGGCTATGGTGTGTGAACACATTGTCCTATCAGATGGCCGTTTTTTTTCATTTAGACCTTATAATGTCACAATTTTTATGTTATGTCACGTTTTTAGTTTTGTATGTCTAGGTTTGGGTTTATTTTGCTGTTCTGTTCTCCCTGTTTCATGTTTTCCTCCTTGTTTCTTGTCTGGTCCTTCTCCCTGTGTTTTCCTTCCTGTCGTTAGTTTCCCTGGTGTGTCTAATTGTCTGATTGTGTTCACCTGTTGCCCTTGTGTTTCTCCCTCCTTTACCCAGCTGTTTCTTGTTCCTTGATTACCCCTCCCTGTATTTAGTCTTGTCTCTTCCTGTGTTCCCCCGTTGGTTCATTGTTTGTTTGTCCTCCCTTCACGGCACGTCTCATGTTTTTTTTCTCCGATCTTCCTCCATGTTTTTCACATTCAGTTTTTGTGTTATTGTTTTCCTGAGCTACCGTTTGATTCATGCCATGTTTTTGTTATCAGCTTTGCAATAAAGCTCGCTTTTGTTTCTAAACCTTTTCTGCTTTTGTAGTCTGCATTTGGGTCCTACCTTTTTCCGCGATCCTTTCCACGCACCCTGACAGAATGAACCGACCAGCTTTGGACTCAGCAGATTCAGCTTTTTTGATGCTACAGGCGGAACGTCTTGGGTACTCTCTGGAGTACATTTTTTATACATGGTATGACGCCTCATCTATACGGGGTAGAGTGGCTGCTTTGAAGGAGGCACGCCAGGAGGTTGCTCGCAAGCCCTGGCTCAGGAGTTTGTTGCCTGAGTGGCTACAACTTTTTACCAGTAGTCCTGGAAACTTTTCTCAAGCCTCTAACCCTTTCCTGGGATCCGACTACTATCCTGGTAGAGGTTCACGGAGTCTCCAAATGGCCTCTAGGAGATGCAGGGCCAGAATTCCAGCCCGTACGCCCCAGCAGCCATGGTTCCGGCCCCAGTTGTGGCCCCAGCAGTCATGGTTCCAGCCTCAGTCCTGGCCCGAGCAGCCATGGTTCTGGCCCCAGTTTTGGCCCCTGCTGCCATGTTTCTGGCTCCAGTTTCGGCTCCATTACTGGCTCCCCGGCCGACGCCAGCCCCCCGTGTCATGTCAGTGGTTCGGCCCACTCCAGCCCCTCGTGTCCAGTTCCCTCTCAAGTCTCTTCTCGAGTCTCTTATCGAGTCTCTTCTCAAGTCCCTTCTCAAGTCCCCTCTCGAGTCTCTTCTCGAGTCCCCTCTCAAGTCCCCTCTCGAGTCCCCTCTCGAGTTCCCTCTCGAGTTCCCTCTCGAGTCCCCTCTTGAGTTCCCTCTCGAGTTCCCTTTCAAGTCACTTCTCGAGTCCCCTCTCAAGTTCCTTCTCAGGTCCTCTCTCGAGTCTCCTCTCGAGTTCCCTCTCAAGTCCCCTTTCAAGTCACCTTTCGAGTCCCCTCTCAAGTCCCTACCCAATGTCCTGGTCCATTGGTGGTTCCGCCGGGGGCCCTGCCAACCCCCCCGCCTGTCCCGTTGGGGTCCCGCCAACTACTCTTCTGCCGGGGGTCCTGCCAACCCTATGTCCTGTGCCGTTGGAGGTTCCGCTGGGGGTCCTGCCAGCTCCATGTCCAGTCCCGTTGGGGTTCCCGCCGACTGCTCTCCTGCCGGGGGTCCTGCTGACCATTTGTCCTGTCCCGTTGGGGGTCCCGCCGACTACTCTTCTGCCGGGGGTCCTGCCAACCCTATGTCCTGTCCCGTTGGGGGTCCCGCCGACTACTCTTCTGCCGGGGGTCCTGCCAACCCTATGTCCTGTTCCGTTGGAGGTCCCGCTGAGAGTCTTGCCAATCCCATGTCTTGTTCCGTTGGAGGTCCCGCTGCCACCTGTCTCACCGGGGGTCCTGCCAACTCCTGGTCCTCTTCCGTGGGGGATCCTGCCGAAGCCTGTCCCACCGGCTCCGGTTCCTGCCCGGCCTCCAGAGCTGTCCCGTCAGCGCCTTCCTGCCCGTCCTCCGGAGTTGTTCCGTCGTCGCCTGCTTCGCCCTCAAGCCCGGCCCCCTGAGAGCCGCGGTTTTCGCCTTCGAGCCCGGCCCCCTGAGTGCCGCGGTCTTGGCCCTCGAGCCCGGTCCCCTGAGAGCCGCGGTCTTCGCCCTCGGGCCCGGCCCCCTGTCTGTTCCTGCCGCTGCCTTCGCCCTCATGCTCGGCCCCCTGAGTTCGCCCACTGTGGTCTTTGCCCCTCCATGGACTCTGCCTTGCCCCCGGGCCCTCCGCACGAGACCCCCACCATGGACTCTGCCTTACCCGCGGGCCGTCCGCCCGAGATCCCTTCCGGGCCCTCCGCTGTGCTCCTGGGCTGTCAGCCCAAAACCCGTCCTCCAGACCCACTCCACCCACCCTGGTGGCCCCTAGTTTTGTGTCCCTCCTCCGGACCACCTCCACCCACCATGCTTGAGGTTTTGGACTTTTGTGTTTTGTTTTT